ATCAGCAGAATACAATCCTGCTGAAGAGAGAGAGAGAGAGAGAGAGAGAGAGAGAGATATGTTTCTATATATCCTATTGGTATATATATATATATATCTGCCAATGTCCATATTTAGATATATATATCCTGTTGGTACTGTTTCTCTTCCTTGGAGAACCCTAATGCAGAAATGTAGCACCTAGTAGATGGTGAATAAATTCATTAATCCCACAAATATTTGTTTAAGTCATGTGTAAACCAGAACATTCCACTTTATTTTATTTTATTTTTTTGAGACGGAGTTTCGCTCTTGTTGCCCAGGCTGGAGTGCAATGGCGCGATCTCGGCTCACCGCAACCTCCGCCTCCTGGGTTCAGGCAATTCTCCTGCCTCAGCCTCCTGAGTAGCTGGGATTACAGGCATGCACCACCATGCCCAGCTAATTTTTTGTAGTTTTAGTAGAGACGGGGTTTCACCATGTTGACCAGGATGGTCTCGATCTCTTGACCTCGTGATCCACCCGCCTCAGCCTCCCAAAGTGCTGGGATTACAGGCTTGAGCCACCACGCCCGGCCTACATTCCACTTTATATGTACCCTTCATTTTACAGATTTACACATTTGAACCACTATATTCATATTTTTCATATCTACTATATTTCATCTGATTTTTTGGGTGGGCCCTGGAGAAGGTGTTTTAGGCTTAAAAAATGTTTATTGGCTGGGTGTAGTGGCTCATGCCTGTAATCCCAATACTTTGAGAGGCTGAGGCAGGCGGATTGCTTGAGCCCCAGATTCAAGACCAGCCTGGGGAACATGGCAAAACATCGTCTTTACAAAAAATACAAAAATGCATGGTGGCACACACCTGTAGTCCCAGCTACTAGGAAGGCTGAGGTGGATTGAGCCCAGGAGGCCTGGGCTGCAGTGAGCCATGAGCGTGCCATGCCACTACACTCCAGACTGGGTGACAGAGTGAGACCCTGTCTCAAAAAAAGAGAAAAAAGAAAAGAAAAAAATATTTATCATTTGACTCCCAATGAGATGTTAAAGTGACTTTCAAGCTTAACAGATACAATCATTAACTATAATTGCTTCAGGTCTTAAAACAATTTTATGTGAAACTGGTGTTCTTTATAGAAATTGGAATTGACAATAATGCAACTATAAAATGATAACTGATGAGAAATAAGAGAATATTAAGAGACAAATTTTGGGAGGCATCCCCTACGCTTCTCAGTAGTGCTGGTGGAACTGAACGCTCATTGCCTATGGCAGCAAACTCAACAGCAAAACTTAATACTGGCTTTTTCTTCTCCTCCCTCTCATGGTCCCTGATCTCTCATTCCTTATGCTCAAATAACCCACCTGATGCCAAGTCCTTGTCTCAGACTGTGCATTGGAAAACTCCCACTTCTGATACCTAATAGCATAATGAGGGTGAAACTCAACACACTTGTGGTTCCATATCCTGTTTCCAGGTATAAACAAAGCAGTGAAAGAAAACAAGGCTTCCAAATGTAGGAATCTGTAGGCTTTAGCTTTACTAAAAGAATAGTCATACAATATCAAGGTTATAAAAATTACTTTATTTCAAATGTGAAAATATAAAAACCACTTACATAAAAAAATTTAAGAGTATTGAAAGACCTAAAATTTAATTTCCAGCTTTAGCTCCTTATGAATGTACTTAAATTTAATTGAATGAAATTAACCTAAATGTCCATCAACTGAGAAGTGGATTAAGAAAATATGGGGTGTGTATATATATATATATATATATATATATATATATATATATACACACCATGGAATATTACTCAGCCATAAAGAAGAATAAAATAATGTATTTTATAGCAACTTGGATGGAACTGGGGGCCGTTATCCTAAGGGAAGTAACTCAGGAGTGGAAAACCAAATACTGCATGTTCTCACTTATAAGTGGAAGCTCAGCTATAGATACACAAGTACATACACAGTGGTATAATGGACACTGGAGACTCAGAAAGGAAGAGGGTGTAAGGGGGGTAATGGATGAAAATTACCTATTGGGTACAATGTACATCAGTCAGGTGACAGGTACACTAAAAGCTGAGACTTCACTGCTATACAATTCATCCATATAACCAAAAACCGTACACCCCTAAATCTATTAAAATAAAAAATTTAAAGATACTGCATTCATAACAGGCATAAATATAAAGAATTTTAATCCTTAAGAGAATTAAAATACAGGGGAAAATATTATATGTTGTCACTGGTAAAAAGCAGAGAACTGTAGTATTCAGTATGCAGACTGACCAACATCCTCTCCATTCCAAAGGATTACTCAGAGAAACCTCACTGTTGTTGGCAGTGACTGGTGAAATGGTCACATTACCCATTTCTGAACAGTAAGACGTAAGGAGACATGAGGAGAGGTTTGCTGTGAGAAGCTCTGAAAAAGAGTTATTGACATCTATGAAGGAGACTCAAAAAAATCGCTCATTTTTTTCCTCTGGTTGCTACGAGGTCTGAAGGGGCCCATGGAACAGCCACAGCCACCATCATGCTACCAGAGGCTGAGAATGAAGCCAGCTCTAAAGATGGCAGACCAGAGAGCTGGGAAGATCTCAGATCCCTGGCAACATACTGAAGTGCTCGAGCCTGCCCTATTTGAATGTCTAGTTATGTGGGAATATACATTTCCTTATTGTTTAAGCCATTTGAATCAGAAGTTTCTGTTACTTGCAGCCAAAAGCTTCCCAACTGAAACAAGAATGAAAGGTAGAGAAAAAGTAAACATTAACAGATGGTTATAATGTATTGGGTGTTTTCTAAAATTTATCCTTTTGGTAAATCAATGTCATTTATAGTAATTTTAAGTTTACAGAATCTCTCCCCTCTGAATTGTCATTAATCATTTTTTATACTATTACATCTAGCAATCTGTCCTCACATATTATTGCTGACAAACAGGAGAGAAGAAAATCAGCAAAATCTAGCTCTCTTTTAAGGTGCAAATAGATAGTTTCTCTTTTACAACCAGTTTCATGGTAATGGCACGACACTTTTTCTGATGGGAGCCAGTAGAGATGGCACATGAAGGAAAGAAGTCTAAAATCTTCTAATACATTTTGAAAGACAAATATAAAACTAAACACCTTCTTAAAACTCCAAATCTATCCTTTACTTCCTTGTTTCCTGGCCATATTAGGAGCATTCACATACTTTTTTTTTTTGAGACAGAGTCCTGCTCTGTCGCCAGGCTGGAGTGCAGTAGTGCAATCTCTGCTCACTGCAACCTCCGCCTCCCAGGTTCAAGCTATTCTCCTACCTACCTCCCGAGTAGCTGGGACTACAGGCACGCACCACCACACCCAGCTAATTTTTGTACTTTTAGTAGAAACAGGGTTTCACCATGTTGGCCAGGATGATCTTGATCTCCTGGCCTCAAGTTATCTGCCCGTCCTGTCCTCCCAAAGTGCTGGGATTGCAGGCATGAGCCACCGTGCCTGGCCCACATATTTTTTTTTTTTTTGAGACGGAGTTTTGCTCTTGTTACCCAGGCTGGAGTGCAGTGGCACAGTCTCGGCTCACCGCAACCTCCACCTCCTGGGTTCAAGCAATTCTCCTGCCTCAGTCTCCTGAGTAGCTGGGACTACAGGCGCATGCCACCATGACCAGCCAATTTTTTGTATTTTTGGTAGAGACGGGGTTTCACCGTGTTCACCAGGGTGGTCTTGATCTCTTGACCTCATGATCCACCTGCCTTGGCCTCCCAAAGTGCTGGGATTACAGGCGTGAGCCACCGCACCCGGCTAAGATGGAGTCTTGCTCTGTCACCTAGGCTGGAGTGCAGTGGCACAATCTTGGCTCACTGCCACCTGTGCCTCCTGGGTTCAAGCAATTCTCCTGCCTCAGCCTCCCACATAGCTGGAACTACAAGTGTGTGCCACCACGCCTGGCTAATTTTTGTATTTTTAGTAGAGATGGGGTTTCACCAGGTTGGCCAGGCTGGTCTCAAACTCCTGATGTCAGGTGATCTATCTGCCTCAGCCTCCCAAAGTGCTGGGATTACAGGTGTAAGCCACTGTGCCTGGCCATTTTTAATAACTTTAAATAAAGACTGGGTGTGGTGGCTAATTGCTGTACCCACAAGTATTAAAGTCTTTCACTGACTAGCAACACTGCACAGAGGTAACATCAAATGATTTCCTGCTGTACCATGCTGTACTCCCAAAGAAATCCCAGCACTTGGAAGGCCAAGGTGGGAGGATCAGTTGAGTCCAGGAATTCAGAACCAGTCTGGGTAACATAGCAAGACCCCATCTCTAAAAAAAAATTTTTAAAAATAGCCAACTGTGATGGTATGTGTCTGTGGTCCTAGCTACTTGGGAGGTTGACACAGGAGGATGACTTGAGCCCAGGAGTTACAAGGCTGCAGTGAACTATGATTGCACCACTGCACTCCAGTCTGGGCAACAGAGTGAGACCTTGTGTCAAAAATAAAACACTGCTGGGTGCGGTGGCTCATGCCTGTAATCCCGGAACTTTGGGAGGCTGAGGCGAGTGGATCACTTGAGGACAGGAGTTAGAGACCAGCTTGCCAACATGATGAAACCCCATCTTACTAAAAATACAAAAAGTAGCTGGGCATAGTGGCAGATGCCTATAATCCCAGCTACTCAAGAGGCTGAGGCAGGAGAATTGCTTGAGGTTGTAGTGAGCCGTGATAGCCCCCCTGCTCTCCAGCCTGGGAGACAGAGCAAGAATCTGTCCCCCCAAAAATAAATAAATAAAAAATAAAACAAAACTTTACATAAAAGTAAAACATGCAAAATGCCAAGCAGTATTTGGAACAAGGTATTATTAGCTATTATTATTAGCAGTGTTCTACCTAGAGAGAAAAATACTGTGCTAAATCTAGCACTGAGAGTGTCCCAATGTCTCTCAAGCATCCACTAGTTGCTTTGTAAGGTATCTGCTTCCTTTCCTATAACTTGAGTTGCTTTATTCTTAGTACACTTGAAAAATTCAGTGTCAGGACTAGTATATTTTATTTTCAGATGCAAGCAGCAACTTTGGCATTTCTTATCACAAAAAAACTATATGAGAAAGCTGGCAGGCCCAGTGAACTTCCTGGCCGGAGAGTTTTTTCCATCAAAGGTGGCAAGGTCTGATCATCCACCATCTTTAGAGTTTGACCATTGAGCTGGACAGATCTGCAGAGGGGAAAGATATACCAAGTTAAACAAGTGGTGCACGCCCCCACCCATGCCCCTACGAAAGCCATGAAATCTTTCTTAAACCAAAAAACTTTTTGTGTGTGTGTGGCAGCCTATATTATATAACTTGTATTTCAACGCTATATCAGTTAGGCATTTGACCTAGATAATCTTTAAGCTACAATGGCAGAATTGAGTAGTTATGACAGACACCATATGGGCCCCTAAGCCTGAAATACTTACTGTCTGGCCCTTTACAGAAAATAGAACACACATAATTTATACTAGGCAATATGGTGGTGGTATAAAAAGGATAAATATGACACAACTTCTGGAATGGTGGCTATTTTATTTAATGGCCAGTAATTGAAATCATTTTTATATAAGCAAATGCATATATATAATAGAATGCAGTTTTTATTAATTTAGCATAAATGGTAGCCAATGAAGTTTCTCACTTGTAACTATGCCCATAAACTGTCTGATTCCCATCTCCCACAGGAGGTATGCATTCATTTTCTTACTGTTATGAAGATACTTTGGTAGAATGCTGTGGTGAAACAAAAACAATTTTATTTGGCTAAACTACAGAAAAATTTATATTTTCTATGTATTTCACTATTGGAATTCAAATTAAAAACTGTTGAACATTTTTAAAAATTAAGGGAAAGTGTTATTTCTTATACATACTTATTATTTAAATCAAATTAATGCATATCCAAAGAAGCAAATCAATGTGAAGAAGAGCTTATGAAAGAAAAGCTTTAGTTGGCTGTAGGTCTATTGATAGTTATTTTCATAATTCTTTTTTTTTTTTTTTTTTTTTTGAGACGGAGTTTCACTCACGTTACCCAGGCTGGAGTGCAATGGCGCGATCTCGGCTCACTGCAACCTCCGCCTCCCGGGTTCAGGCAATTCTCCTGCCTCAGCCTCCTGAGTAGCTGGGATTACAGGCACGCGCCACCATGCCCAGCTAATTTTTGTATTTTTAGTAGAGACGGGGTTTCACCATGTTGACCAGGATGGTCTCGATCTCTTGACCTCGTGATCCACCCGCCTCGGCCTCCCAAAGTGCTGGGATTACAGGCATGAGCCACCGCGCCCGGCTATTTTCATAATTCTAAATGAGACGCTTATATCTCTTTTTCTGAAATATGTTTTATATTAAGAACAAAGTTAGCACTCTTTAAATACTGAAAACTTGTAAGATTAGGCCTGGCTCAGTGGCTCACACCTGTAATCCCAGCACTTTGGGAGGCTGAGGCAGGCAGATGACTTGAGGCCAGGGATTCAAGATCAGCCTGGCCAACATGGCAAAACTCCATCTCCACCAAAAAATACAAAAATCAGCTGGCATGGTGGTATGTGCCTGTAGTCCCAGCTACTCAGGAGGTTGAGACATGAGAATTGTTCAAACATGGGAGGCAGAGGTTGCAGTGAGCTGAGATGGTGCCACTGCACTCCAGCCTGGGCAATAGGGTGAAATTCTGTCTAAAAAAAAAAGAAAACTTATAAGATTAGTTACTGTTAGAGTTATATTTATGTCATTTATGTAATACATGTAGTATATGTAGAACACTTGTAACAGTGCCTTTTATGTAGTCAACACTATAAAAGTGTTATCTATCATTATTATTACTCAGATAAATATAAGAAAACTAACCTAAGTCATCATTAACTGTTTTAAACATTTTGATGTATATTCATTCTTTCATCTATTTTTTATGTACATACGTATGGTCATATGCCACATAATGATGTTTTGGTCCACCACGGACCGCATATATGAGCATGGTCCCATAAAATAATAAAATTAAGTTGAATTCCAATAGTGAATAATTCCTATTGCCTAGCAATGTCATAGCCATTGTAACATTATAGCACGACACATTAGTTTTCTGTGTTTAGACGCACAACTACTTAACACAATGATAACTTGCCATTGTGTTAGGTATTGTATATTCACTACAGTAACATGCTTTACAGGTTTGTAGCCTAGGAGCAACAGGTTATACCATATAGCCTCGATGTATAGTAGGCTAGACTATCCAGGTTTATGTAAATTCAGTCTGTGATGTTCACACCAGGATGAAATCACCTATTGACCCATTTCTCAGAATGTATCCCCATCATTAAGCAACACATGACTGTACACATCTTTCTTTTTTTTTTTTTTTTTTTTACTTAAGTATGGGTATACTGTATTTTCTTAAAACTTTACTCTTCCCCTCCGCCCCAGCATATCCTAAGATTTTCTCACACCTTTAAACATTCATCCACTACATAATTTTAATGACTGCACAAGATTCCATGGTGTGAGTATACTATTTACTTAATTCTCTAATGTTAGATATTTTTCCATGTAGCATTATTATATACCTTTTTCACTTAAAAAGAGTCTCTCGGCTGGGCGCAGTGGCTCACACCTTGTAATCCCAGCACTTTGGGAGGCAGAGGCAGGCAGATCATCAGGTCAGGAGTTCGAGACCAGCCTTGCCAACATGACAAAACCCCATCTCAACTAAAATTACAAATACAAAAATTAGTTGGGTGTGTTGGCGGGCGCCTGTAATCCCAGCTACTCGGGAGGCTGAGGCAGGAAAGGCGGAGGTTGCGGTGAGCCAAGATCACACCATTGCACTTCAGCCTCGGCAACAAGAGTGAAACTCCATCTCCCAACAAACATATGAAAAAAATGTTCATCATCACTGGTCATTAGAGAAATGCAAATCAAAACGACATTGAGATACCATCTCACGCCAGCTAGAATGGCGATCATTAAAAAATCTGGAGACAACAGATGCTGGAGAGGATGTGGAGAAATAGGAACACTCATGCAGTTGGTGGGAGTATAAATTAGTTCAACCATTGTGGAAGACAGTGTGGCGATTTCTCAAGGATCTAGAAACAGAAATTCCATTTGACCCAGCAATCCCATTACTGGGTGTATACCCAAAGAACTGTAAATCATTCTACAATAAAGACACGTGCACACATATGTTCACTGCAGCCCTGTGTATAATAGCAAAGACCTGGAACCAACCCAAATGCCCATCAATGATAGACATGGTGGTACATATACACCATGGAATACTAAGCAACCATAAAAAATGATGAGTTCATGTCCTTTGTAGGGACTTGGATGAATCTGGAAACCATCATTCTCAGCAAACTGACACAAGAACAGAAAGCCAAACATCGCATGTTCTCACTCATAGGTGGGTGTTGAACAATGAGAACACATGGACTCAGGGAAAGGAGCATCACACACTGGGGGCAGTTGGCGGGGTTAGGGGAGAGACAGCAGGGGCTGGGGAGGGAGTGGAGGGTGGGGAGGGATAACATGGGGAGAAATGTCAGATAACTATGCACCTAAAGTAAGATTAAAAAAAAAAAAAAGGAACTCCGTCTCAAAAAAATAGTGAGTCTCTCACACCCTGTCCTCATTAAGCATCAGTGAGCAGATAAACTGGTTTCCATTTTGACCTAATGAGATGCTCAGCCCTGGGCTCTGTAACTTAAGATGTATCAATAGCACGGCCATGACTGTGCCAGAGGCTAGCGTGTCTGCATTGTAGTTGTACTCAGTCTACATGAGTTGGTTTTGTTTAAAAGCCTTTATCACGTTAATTTTTAGATGGGGTGAAGGAGGAAGTGCCATGACCATCATCAGGAAACCACAAACAAAAATAGGTCTTGAAAAGGTCTCCAACTGACAGTGGTAAGAGTCTGTTCTGCATGAAATTAAGAACCTTACCAGAGTACACACAAAAGTCTTAGATATGCTTTTGGAGAGAGTATTTTGCTACAAAGCTTAAATGTGAATCTGATCATTGTGAATTAATACTGCTGTGGCTAAGATGAGTTACATGGGCAAGATATTATACCATCAGGCTATATTGTTTAATCAGCTGTACATTTATCTAAAAGATGCTATACATATATCAAGGGTAAGCTTAATGTATGCTGATTATTTCCACATCAGGCTGGGCAATGAGGATGGGGTTTTATTTGAGTGTGGCATCTTATTTTATATTCTGAAATCAATAACATGATGACAAATAAATAGAAGATGTTTGTCAAATTTCAGATGAAATGAAGCTGGAAGGAATTAGCAAGCAACAGATTCAGCAGAAGTGGGGATGCTGGACAAAATTTATGAGATAAATATAAAATACTGCCTTTATATTAAAAATATGTTCATTCAGCCCAGATGAGGTGGGTCATGCCTGTAATCCCAGCACTTTGGGAGGCCAAGGTGGCCTGATTGCTTGAGTTCAGGAGTTTGAGACTAGCTTGGGCAATATAGTGAGACCTCGTCTCTATTTTTTTTAAAAAAACCATATGTTCATTCAAATATTTATTAAATGCTTATTATGCAGGACCCTAATCATTTTTAGGGCTAGGTGCAGTTGTTCACATCTGTAATCCCAGCACTTTGGGAGGCTGAGGAAGATCAGTTGAGCTTAGGAGTTTGAAAGCAGCCTGGGCAACATAATGAGACCTCATTCCTACAAAAAATTTAAAAATTGGCCAAGTGTGTTGGCATAAGCCTGTGGTCTTAGCTACTTGGAAGGCTGAGGAGGAAGGATCACTTGAGCCCAGGCAGCGGTGGCTGCAGTAAGCTGTGACTGCACCACTGCATTCCAGCCTGGGTGACAGAATGAGACCCCTGCCTCAATAATAGTAGTAGTAATAATTCTTAAAGGTGACTGTTGTTTAACTCTCTGAGATCATTAATAAGAGCAAGTGTACAGACTGTGCACTCATAAACTTATCTAGGATACTTTTTTGCAAAATTTTAAAGATGGAAGAGTGTAAGTAATATATACTTATCAAAGAGAATTTAGGGGAAATAAAACATTGTCTCTAATTTCACCGGTTTTCCAATTATAAAACATGAAATGTGTGATCAGAATGTAATAGAGGCAGGGCATGGTGGCTCATGCCTGTAATCCCAGCACTTTGGGAGGCCGAGGTGGGCGGATCACTTGAGGTCAGGAGTTTCAGATCAGCCTGGCCAACATAGTGAAATCTCATCACTACGAAAAATACAAAAATTAGCCAGTTGTGGTGGTGGATTCCTGTATTCCCAGCTACTCAGGAGACTGAGGCAGGAGAATCTCTTGAACCTGGGAGGCGTATGTTGCAGTGAGCCAAGATCGCGCTACTGCACTCCAGCCTGGGCAACAGAGTGAGACTGCCTCAAAAAAAAAAAAAAAAAAAAAAAGAAAGAAATTAAAAAAAGAATGTAATATGGTCTGCTAAATACAGCATAAAGAATAGTCATTGAAGAAATTGGACATAGCCTAAAGTCAAGACAATCCAATTTTCCTTCAAATATTTGGGAGTTATCCCAGAAAAAATGAGGTATTCAGCATTACTCTAGATTAGGGGTGGCAAACTCAAATGCCACAAAGGCCAAGAAAGTGATATGTGCAAGAACAGCAGAACAGGAATAAGACAGTAGGGTCAGGTAGAGACTGTAGATATCTGTAAAGCTGAATGACCTGTCTAAAGTATACAACCCCCATTCAACTCCAGTTAGTTGAGAAAGCAAGTCCAGAGTTGCCCAAGTATCCATTTTTAAAGAAAAGCTGGAGATCCTGATATTTTAATAGCTGTCAATTTTTCGATGTTGACAATTAACTAAAAACAAAACACAATGTGCATGCCAAGTTCCCCTAGCAGAGAAAGGGGAGTGGGGAATCCTCCAAACCAACTTGTCAACAAGAATGAGGTATAGTTTTCAACTCCTCCTCTAGAGAACAGAACTAAGAGCAGCAAGTGAAGGCCCCAAGAGGCTCACTTTTCCCTTGCCAGAGAGAGCAGTCACTCTGAAGGGCTTTCCATGGGTAGTTGGACTAAAATGATCTCTTATGACACTTCCAACTCTACAACTGTTATTCAATTACTTCAGAAAATTATTTTTATCAGCAGCAAACAAAATATGCAAAAAAAAATTCAGAAAAGATCAGAATTGAAATTGAAAATAGTATCTGTTACCCTAAAATGCATTATTTACAACAGGGGGAAGAAAAGATTTAAACAGTAGGAAAATGGTTAACTAAACCATGGTAGTATTTTATAAAACATACAGCCCATTAAAAATGTCTACAAAGGAGCCAGACATGGTGGCTCACGCCTGTAATCCCAGCACTTTGGGAGGCCAAGGCAGGTGGATCATTTGCGGTCAGGAATGCAAGTCCAGCCTGGCCCACATGGTGAAACCTTGTCTCTGCTAAAAATACAAAAATTAGCCAGACGTAGTGATGCATGCCTGTAATCCCAGCTACTAGGGAGGCTGAGGTGGGAGAATCGCTTGAACCTGGGAGGCAGAAGTTGCAGCGAGCCGAGATCATGCCACTGCACCCTAGCCTGTGTGACAGAGTATGACTCTGTCTCAAAAAAAAAAAAAAAAAAAAAAAAAGAAAGAAAGAAAGAAAAAAGAAAAAAGTGTCTACAGAGGCGATGTTAGAAAGGCTTTTGGGAAGACTTCTGGACTTCTCCCCCAACCTTGCCTTTTTCCTATTACATGTTATATGATTATAGTTAGAGTAAAATAAAGCATAGAGAGGGAAAAAACATAAAAGAACAGTAACCAGTGTTAATGCTGTTTGTCTGTGGGGGATAGGACGTTGGAGAAAGCATGCTTACTGGACTGCCTCAGGTTCCGAGGCTAATATTCCTGGAACATATCACTTATGTGGCATTTGCAAAGATGGGAGGATTTTGAGAATTTTGTAAACTCTTAATTTTTATTTATTTATTTATTTATTTTGAGACGGGTTCTCACTCTGTCACCCGGGCTGGGTGACAGGAGCACCGTCACAGCTCACTGCAGCCCTGACCCCCTGAGCTCAAGCAATCCTCCCACCTCAGCCTCCCAAGTAGCTGGGACTATAGGCATGCACCACCACTCCTGGCTAATTTTGGTATTTTTTGTAGAGACAGAGTTTCACCATATTGCCCAGGCTGGTCTCGAATCCTGGGCTGAAGCAATCTGCCTGCCTCAGCTTCCCAAAGTGTTGGGATTCCAGGCATGAGCCACTGTGCCAAGGCTGTAAACTCTTTTTATGCTCCAATATGAGAATAGTCATGAGAAAGAAACTCCTTCCAACATACATTGAACAGAAACCTTAAAATATTTATATGCCTAACTCTTCAAGACTCGTAGTCAAGCCGGGCGCGGTGGCTCAAGCCTGTAATCCCAGCACTTTGGGAGGCCGAGGCGGGTGGATCACGAGGTCAAGAGATCGAGACCATCCTGGTCAACATGGTGAAACCCCGTCTCTACTAAAAATACAAAAAATTAGCTGGGCATGGTGGCGTGTGCCTGTAATCCCAGCGACTCAGGAGGCTGGGGCAGGAGAATTGCCTGAACCCGGGAGGCGGAGGTTACGGTGAGCCGAGATCGCGCCATTGCACTCCAGCCTGGGTAACAAGAGCGAAACTCCGTCTCAAAAAAAAAAAAAAAAAAGACTCGTAGTCATTTTTTGGCACTCCAGTGAATTATGTAGTCAATAATTGGTTTTTGAACTTAAGTGTATGAGAATCTACTTAAAAAGTACACTCTAGCTATTCTTTTTCTTTCTGTAAAAATGAATGCTGTAAAAGAATCACACTGATCTCACATAGTATGATATTTTATACCAACCCACATACCTTTGATAGCAATTATATGTAGGTATATTTTGCTTTACTGAATGTGTTACCAAGAATTGTGTCTTTTTAGAGTAAATAATTTAAATGTGTTGAGTAGATCTTGATATGTCAAGTTAGTTTGAAATGAAAACTTATTCTCTAAGTAACTGCTAGTTTGTGTTCACATCCTTTTGCTTTAGACTCAGGGTGAGTTATACTCATCTTGGTAAGTATTCACACAGAAATTTCCTGAATATTAAGTCTTCTTAGAACTTGAAATAGTTTACTTTGTTTTTTGCTCCCTGTCCAAATTCTCTGTTCTGATAAACACCAATAAATTTATTGAAGTTTGAAATGAACGAGGAAAATTACTTACTTGGAGAGTAATCCATCAGGTCCCAAAGGCCTTAAAAGGTATTTATCCACTTGCTTGTTAAAAAAAGGATGGGGCAACCGCAAGTACTTGGTGACATTATGGAGGTTTATGGTATACAGAGTTAAATCTCCTTCTTTATACCTTGGACTAAAAGCAAATAGGTTAACTCAGTAAAAATATTTATCTAATTTAAGTAATTAAAAACTCAATTACAAATGTGATCCTAAGTATTCGTATTCATAATTACTGTGGATCCTCTGAGTATCCTTCTTGTATGATCCTATTGGACCACTCGTGTGGTCCTATTTTGAAAACACGATTAAAATCATTGCTCTTCATGCTGCCAATGTCTGAGCTAAAGCATGCTGAGATCCTCACAGCTCTGCCAACTGGGTTGCTAGGAAGCCGGCTAGACTATCCATTTTCAGACATAGGAAGGTAAAAGGCAAATTTTGTGGGTTCATGTGAATTCAAATTATAAACATACAAACGGGCTTTTCCTAGCCTTATAAAATGACTGAAACAAATAAGAAAATTAAATCTATTGACATTTTTACGAATTTATCCATTCAAACCATTCCCCTCGCTACTTCCCAGTGGGGTCCTCACTATCCACAGAATTCCCAGTCACCAACAGTGGGAAACAGTAGATGGTCTTTCTTGGCTGGAATTAGTATTTCAGTATCATCTTATCAGGAATGATAGATTGAAACCTATCTAAGAATATTCCTGAGATTTAGGAACATTTTTTGCTACCTCAAGCAAGAGTATGAGGCTATAAAAATCTCTGTGGCTTCTCAACTCTAGAAACTGGTTGCAACTTTTGAAAACAACACTATGGTTATTATTGTTCTCCTTTTCAAGAATCACTTGAACCTGGGAGGCGGACGTTGCAGTGAGCTGAGATTGCACCACTGCACTACAGCCTGGGTGACAGAGCGAGCCTTTGTCTTAAAAAACTACAACAAGAAGAGTATCATTTTTCTTTTTTAAAAAAATGAAAAATAAAGTAAAATCATATAAAACGACTAAACTGCAACTGCCTATACTTATGCAATGTATAGATATATGCAACAGGGCGGTTTGAGTAAAGTTACGTGCTTACCCACTAAAACTTGATTGGTAAAGGGTGTGTTTCATACTTACTTGTTAATGTTTGTGCAATGAAGGTATACTCGAAGATTCTCTCTCTCTGGGCCTTTCACACTTGCCATTAACACCTTGGTGCCCACCAATTTCTTGAACAGAAGAGATAGCCAATAATCCTAGTTGTGGTGGTTGGGGAGAAAAAGAGACAAAAATAGATCTTTACTTACTTCCTTATTTAACGAAACCAGTGACAAGCAAATTGTTATCCTACAAAGAGTATCACTGTTATCCTCGGGGCTTTTAAACAGGATTCTTCTTTTCTTTTTTTTTTTCCTCCCGTGTGACCACCATGAATCTGAGAGCAATAGCTTGCTTGCTGCTTTTTATCACTGGAGGATACAATTCAAAAGGCCATAGCCTCTAGGGGATATCTGTCAAGAATGATCAGAGTTTAAGTATTCTTGGTTATCTTTCATCTACGAATTGAAAGCAAAGCTCAAAGCCAAACTTTTAGACAGACAGACACACACACACACACACACACACACACACACACACACACACACACACGGCACAAAGACAAATTTTTAAAGCAAAACTTCCATCTGTTTAAGAGACAAATAATTTTATTTATACCAGGCACAGTGGCCAAAATATAATCACAGCATGTTAGGAGGCTGAAGTGGGTAGATCGCTTGAACCCAGGAGTTGAAGACCAGTCTGAGAAACATGATGAAACCCCTTCTCTAAAAAATTAGCTAGGTGTGGTGGTGTGCACCTGTAGTTCCAGGTACCCAGGAGGCTGAGGTGGGAAGATCACCTGAGCCAGGAGGTCAAGGCTGCAGTGAGCTATGATTGTGCTACTGCACTCCAGCCTGGGAAGCTCAAAGCACATTTGAGCTTCCAGAAGCACATAATAAAGAATTCTTGCAAAAAATAATGATAATTAAAAAAACCCTAAACAAACTGAAGATTCTAGGTATAACTACCAGTTTATAGGAAATACAGGGGACAGAGGAACATGACACCACAGGAAAAAAATTTAGCAAACTCCAGAATGTGGGAAGTACTGTAGAACCTATAGAACAAGTTACCTGTTTTTTCACATTAATAAATTACAAGAGAGGAAAGAAAGGGACGAAGAACTTAAAGATGAACAAGCTTAAGAGACGTATCAACCAAATGTGGTATATGGACCTTGTCTGGATTCTGATTTGAATAAATTATCAACAATATTTTAGGCAATAAGGAAAATGTAAAACACTGACAAAATATTTGGTGATACTAAGGAATTATGAATTATTCTTAATAAAGTAAGATGAAAGTATTCTGTTTTTACAAAAAGGATACATACTAAAATATATATATTTTTTGAGACATGGTCTTACTCTGTCGCCCAGGTTGGAGTGCAGTGGTGTGAATGCAACTCACTGCAGCCTCAACCTCTTGGGCTCGAGTGATCATCCTGCCTCAGCCTCTCATGTAGCTGGGACCACAGGCATGTGCCACCATGCCCAGATAACTTTTTGACTTTTTTATAGAGATGGAGGTCTCACTTTGTTGCTGAAGCTGGTCTTGAACTCCTGGGCTCAAGTGATCCTCCTGCTTCAGCTTCCCAAAGTGTTGGGATTATAGGTGTGAGCCACCACACCTAGCACATACTGAAATATTTATAGATAAAATAATATATCTGAGATTTGCTTCAAAGTAATCTAATAGGTGACAGAGCGAGCCTTTGTCTTAAAAAACTACAACAAGAAGAGTATCATTTTTCTTTTTTAAAAAAATGAAAAATAAAGTAAAATCATATAAAACTTGACTAAACTGCAACTGCCTATACTTATGCAATGTATAAGTATTTATAAAAAAAGTGGGTAGGATTATGGATTAAACAAGATCAAAGTATACAGGAGGAAAACATAATTTTCCTTCTACTTTTAGTTCTTATTTGGGATGGACCTCTGTAACAAGACATAAAGCAAGAGAAAAACAAATGTAAGTATATTAACATATATATTTCACATATATATATATATATATATATATGCAGAAAATACCAAGGGAACAAGTAATTCTCAACAAGGTGGCTTAGAACTCCAGCTTATATAGCATCTTTAACAAAGAACAATAAATTTCTGGGCAACAGACATGACAAAGGAAAAGGGTTTTGAGTCTCTAGGGGTGGCAAATTGTGGGAAGGAAAATAAATGAATATGTAATATAGATTCTTCTAGAGCCATCTTTAGACCAATAAGGGTCTGAAATTATCTTCAGTGATTAACTCTTCTTTTTCCTGGTAGAAAGGGAAGCAGGGGACTTCTGTAAATTTATATCCTGCTTTTAGGCAAATGGAGGAGGACAGATAACTTTTCTTCTACATGTTTCTTCCCAGTTGCCTTCAGCTCAAAATAATCCTTATGCCAAAGTGGCATATTTTGGGATGGCATATTCTAGTCTTCTAAAGTGGGTCCATATACTTTCCTCTGTATTTTGTATATGATTAAAATTTTCTTTTCTTTTTTTTATTGCATTTTAGGTTTTGGGGTACATGTGAAGAACACGCAAGACTGTTGCAGAGGTACACATATGGCATCGTGATTTGCTGCCTTCCTTCCCTTCACCTATATCTGGCATTTCTCCTCATGCTATCTCTCCCCAATTCCCCACCCTCACACTGTCCCTCCCCTATTTCCCCCCAACAGACCCCGGTGTGTGATGCTCCCCTCCCTGTGTCCATGTGTTCTCATTGCACTGGTCATTAGGGAAATGCAAATCAAAACTACATTGAGATACCATCTCACGCCAGTTAGAATGGTGATCATTAAAAAATCTGGAGACAACAGATGCTGGAGAGGATGTGGAGAAATAGGAACACTTTTACACTGTTGGTGGGAGTGTAAATTAGTTCAACCATTGTGGATTAAAATTTTCGATAGTAAAAGTTCTTCTTAAAAAACTTAGGGTCGGTGGTGGGCACAATTACACCTGTAATCCCAACACTGGGAGGCTGACGCAGGAGGATCACTTGAGCCCAGGAGTTTGAGACGAGCCTGGGCAATATAGAGAGACCTTGTCTCAATTTAAAAAATACTAAAATAAATAAATAAATAAAACACCACTCAACACATACCCCAACTTTCCTTCTTGAATTGAGGGAAAGTAGACTTAACAAGACAAATGAGTTTTGTTTCTCTGCTTAAATTCACCTTTTTCACTGGAGACAAGAGTGGAATCAACTAAATGTTTTCAAAGGAGACATAAACATGGGTCAATGACTAGTAGTAGGGTAGAAAGCATGTGGGCCTCAGAGGCAAGATTTGAATGGGATTTTCAGAGTAACATAGGACTACAGCATGGCTTCCTGTAAATCATGCAATCTCTTCTCAATTTGAAGTTCCTTATTTAAAAAATGGATCCAAGATACCTGCCTTGTCACCTTACAGGACCGTCATGCAAATCAAATGAATTCACAGACATGTTCAGTGAGTTTAAGTTTAATTCCCTTGGATCTACAAGTGTCAAGGGTACCATTTGCTCTTGCAAGTTTTTCTAGCTGACTGAGAACCTTGAAGGAGAAGCATATTTAGTGCATATACAAAGAGTTTGTAAGTCAAAGGTTTATGTCTGGGCCCTGGGAAAATTTGGATGAGATGAGATAAAAAGGCCAGGAGTAGATTTCGAATGTTTGTCTAGTGAAATTACTATGCTTAGCTTAGTTTAACTCTATAGATGACATGGGGAAAGATAAATTCCATTTTTGCAAGGTCACTTTTCTAAGAATTTTCTAAAAAAGGATGAGTAATATGTTGGACCACTATAGATAAAAAGCAATTTTGTTGGGAAATCTATCCGCAAACCACAAAAGCCTAGCTTATATTTTCACATATGCTCTTTGCAAATTTCTTAGCTTTCCTACAACATTCAAGTAATTCCTTTAGGAATTATTCTTAGAAAATAGGTATCTTCAAATGACATTTTAGACTATAAAAATCAAGGTCATGCTTCTCAGGGCTATGTCAATGTTATCTCTGACATATATTTAGACATATAGATCTTCCACGAGGCTTTTTGGGAAGAAACATTTCCTGATTTAGCACCAGCTGTAGTTGAAGGAAGGGTTAGAAGTGAGACTTTATTCCTAAGTATCTTGAAGATTATTAATAAAACAGTAAATTCTTAGCGTAACATGTTTGAGCAAATATATGGTACTGGGTCATTTTAAAGTTAAATAAATTACAATTTCATAATATAAAAAATGTTTTGAAGCATACTATAGGCAATTATAACTGATTACTTTGTAAAACATTTGAAAATCCAAGTTGTTATTTTGTACAATGAGTCATAAAATTTCAAATTATCCCTCTTTTAAACAAAATCCACACTATGCCCCAAATGGCTCACATTTAATAAGTTATTCCTAGTTTTTGATTTCTTCTCTTCAAACGCACGCAAAAAATGTTAGATTGGATGATATCTAAGGGTCTTCCTAAATTCATCATCTCACGATTCGGCTAGTTATTGAGAGGACTGATTATTCATAGAAGGTTAACACCAGGAGTCCCAAGTTGACTTTAATCTACTCTTCAAGAATTATGAAAAAGATGGTCACTTACGGGTAAAGGATCGAAGTGTTCATCCACTAAATGGTAGTTTCCTGCTCCAAAGAATACTTGCCTCATCACCACTTCTATTCCCATTCGGGCTGACAGGCCCAATTTATCCAGCCACCTGGGACAGGGCGAGACCAGGCTTTCTTCAGGTTTGGAAACAAAATCACTCAATTCTAATTGCACACCATCTTGATCTTATTTATTTATTGAGACAGAGTCTCACTCTGTCACCCAGGCTGGACTGCAGTGGCGTGATCATAGCTCTCTCCAGCCTCAAACTCCTGGGCTCCAGTGATCCTCCTGCCTTAGCCTCTTAAGTAGCTGGGACTGAAACCACCTTTGCAAAAATTGTAACTGAGGAAATTATGACAATGAAAGAGATCCCACCTAATTGACTCCATCTTGCTTCTAACCTTTAAGCTGTCCTTGTTTATTCCTGGGCACAGGCTGAACTAACTTTGGGAAGGAATTCAGTTCATGGTTTGACTCTGAAACAAAACTGACAATAGCCCTTTTCTGAAAAGACCCCCTTCTTGCCTGGGGACCAGTCTACCTTTGTAGGGCTAACGAATTAGCTACAACGTTAGAGATTACAGTTTAGGGGTAATGCAGCCTCTGGCTCCAAGAATCTGAACCTCCTCAAATTGTTCCTGAGGATAACCTCACTATTATAAAACCTAAGATCAGTGCTTGAGATACCTTGCAGACCCTGCACTGCATGAATCAGTTGACACAACCCAGATGGGTAATCTGGCCCAACCAGTTCTGCCATCCCACCCAGGAACAGTAGACAGCAAGAAAACCTCCCTTGCACTTCCTGTGATTCCATCTCCAACCTAACCAATCAGCACTCTCCGCTTCCTAACCCCTACGCACCAAATTATCTTTAAAAACTCTGATCCCAGAATGTTCCGGGAGACTGATTTGCGTAATAATAAAACTTTGGTCTCCCGTGCAGCCGGCTCTGCATGAATTACTTTCTCCATTGGAATTCCTCTGTCTTGATAATCTGCTCTGTCTAGGCAGTAGGCAAGGTGAACCAGTTGGGCAGCTATAGGACTATAGGTGTGTGCCACCATGCCTGGTTCTGAACATATTCATCTTTGAGGGAGGTCATCAATTATACATAAGTCATCTAAATGAAATGGCAACTGCGTGCAGCAGCAGCAGAATCCGTCCCTTTACATCTTTCCATACAATAACAAATCCTAGAAGACTATTACCATGCTAGAGGTATCCCTTTCAGGGTGAGACAACTTCCACAGAGCAGAGTGGACCAATTCCCACCCCTATTGACAGTTCTTCATCCTATGAGGTCCCTGCACAACCACAGTGTGAGGGCTGAAGAAAAAGTTGCAGTCGGCAGGGGTAAATGTAAAATAAGTAGAATTGCATCTAAGCTATTATCGACACCTCTTTCCACTTCTCCATCTCTATCCCCCTCTCCCTGACACCCAGATCTTTAGTTAATGGGAAAACAAACATCTCCATTCTTTTCTCTATTCTTCATGCTTCCATGAGCATAAAGGATTTGTGCTTTACAGTATTCTGGGCTTAGAAGGATGAGGAGGAGAGAAAAAAGAATGAAGGTGGGAGAGAAAAGAGAAAAAATTTCAGTGTGGGGATATAGCACTATAGATTAAAAGCACTAACAGAGTTACTGAATGTAACTAAACCAGTATTTTAAAGCAATCAAGTTTGTGGTGTTGGATAATGCGATGATTTAATACATCTTTACATTCAATGATAGTCCCTCTGATGGGACCTTATACTTCAGGCTCTAAACTCCTTGGGAATCTATGAATTATAGCTACATACACTAAGTATCCTCCTGAGAGACAAAGCTTGTAATATGCTCTAAACTGTGTTTTGTGTGTGTGTGTGTGTGTGTGTGTGTTTTGTTTTGTTTTGTTTTTGAGATAGGGTGTAGCCGGGCACGGTGGCTCATGTCTGTAATCATGACTTTAGAAGGCTGAGGCAGGCAGATCACTTGAGCTCAGGGGTTTCAGACAAGCTGGGCAACATGGCAAAACCCATCTCTACTAAAAATACAAAAATTAGCCCAGATGGGTGATGTGCCTGTAGTCCCAGCTACTCAGGAGGCTGAGGTAGGAGAATTGCTTGAACCTGGGAGGCAGATGTTGCAGTGAGGTGAGATTGTGCCACTGCTTTCCAGCCTCGGTGACAGAGGGGAAAAAAAAAAAAAAGACAGTGTCTCATTCTGTTGCCCAGGCTAGAGTACAGTGGTACCATCATAACTCACTGCGGCCTCAAACTCCTGGGCTTAAGCAATCCTTCCACCTCGGCCTCCCAACGTGTTGGAATCACAGGGAACTACCAGACACAGCTACATGCATTCTTTTACAATGCATTTCTTTAGCGTAAGTACTACTTGACATTTGTATGGGCCATAATTAAAGGAGAACATTTCTAAAACAATTCATCCTTACAATGATTAATTGGGACACTTGTCAAAGATGTCCATCAAGCTTTAGTAAATCATTTTCTCATGAAATCTGGTATGAATTTTGGAGCTCAGCCACTGAAACTGTCTTTGATCTGCTTTTTGGCTGGGGAGCTATTTCAATGGAATAGAAGGGTGGAGAAGAACTGCACTTCTGACTCCTAATGCCAGTGCTGCCTCACTCACATAAAGCCAGCTGCAAAGGTGTCGGATAGCAAGGGTGCTCCGCCTCCATATGCAGAGCTTGTTTCTCCTAACCAGACCTTCTTGCCAGGCCTGGTGCTCTCAACCACCTATAGAACAGAAAAGAATCCACGGTAATTGCAAAAGAGTTGATGTGTGGCTTCACCTGTGGTGTTAAACAGCATTCAAAACCTTGTATTCCTAGACCCATCAGTCCTACATAGTTATAAAATATGTTCATAGTCATTTAGGTCTTGGGAAATTTTCTTTTATTGGAATAGAAGGCTGTGGAAGGAATAGGAAGTAAACCAACCCACTCTTATCATCTATGTGAGTTAATTCTACTAAAGGCTATTGGAAATATTTCAAATTTTTAATCACATACATGGGGTAAGACCCAATGCTAAGGGGGAAACCAACAGTGAATAAATTTGCTCTCTAAAATTAGAAAACCATGTACATATATATACCTGTAGGATTTAGAACTAGCTAGACTATAAAATAGGGATTCTGGTTTTACATTAAAAATTTATAAAAAGACTATTACCTGGAAAACTTTTTGCACAGATGAAATAAAAATGTCCAGTACATCAGGGTTTAGAAAATCTTCTTTTGTAGCAGTTCGTCCATTCAAGTAGTAGCTAAATTATTCAGAAAATATTAAAAAAAAAACAACTTTACTTTCTACTTTTAGGTTAATTGCTGACCTTATTCTCCTTCTTGCCTCTCCCACTCACCTGCTACTAAGAAAAGGTAGAAGTTCTACTAGGGAAAGACCAAGATAAAAGGCGGATATGAGGAAGTGTCTGTTCTATGCAAGTAACTAGAAATCTATTATTCTGTCTTGAAAACACACGGGGGCAAGTACATGCACTCCTGGGTTACTGATTCTTTGGCAAGTAATTGGTTTTAGCTACTCATATGTTCCATGGTTTAATTGGCACTGTTCTTTGATCTTTATAGAAACCACCACATTATTTAAAATAACATTAAATTTTTGTTTTATTAATATTAAAACTGGAGTACTGTGCTAATTGAGACACTATTTGTTTCTTATTTGAACTGCAAAATCAATCGGCAGTTAAGTGGAACTAACTTTTTGAAAACTAGGTAATAAATAAAGCTAGCCTTACTTTCCTAGTATTAAGAATAGGAGACATACTTACTGATGCCATGTAACTGAATCAATCACTTCTCCACCAGCCTCTAGGAAACTAGAAAAAAAAATTATACTAAGTTATCATTCAGTCGTCATATGATAATACATATATATGCACAATATATGGATGAGAGTTTTAGTCCCTAAAAATGGGCTGGTTACTACTTTAGGATCACGTGAACACAAAATTCCTAATTTTGATAGCAAATTTTATCATAGGTGTCATTTGCCTCAGATCTCTTGATATTCTGAACCAGTCAAAATTTTATTTTTTTGGCAAATCATGTATTCAGGCAGCAAATTGTTTAATAACATGTGGACCATTGAGGATTGTCTACCAGAGAGATTTTTTTTTTTTTCCCCGGAAAAGTGGTGGCTGGGTATGGTGGCTCATGTCTGTAATCCCGGCAATCTGGGAGGCTGAGATGGGAGGAAGGCTTGAGCACAGGAGTTCAGGAGTTCAAGACCAGCCTGGGCAACAAAGGGAGATCCCATCGCTACAAAAAAAATTTTTAAAGTAGCCAGGTGTGGTGGTGTTCACCTGTAGTGCCAGCTATTTGTGGGGCTGAGATGGGATGATTGCTTGAGCCTGGGAGGTCAAAGTTGCCATGAGCTGTGATCGTACCACTGCACTCTAGTCTGGGTGGAGTGGTGAGACTGTCTCAAGAAAAAAAAGGAGAAAAGAAAAGTGATTCTGCATCCTCTGGTTCTTACCTCTTCAGCATCTTAGCAGTCTTTCTTCGAGGCTGACCAACATCAGGACCATAGAGTTTTGCATTTTTGAAGGTGGACTTTCTTAAAAGTTTATGCAATTGAATAAAATCTTCTCCTAACTGCGACCCATTGATGAAAATATCAGCCTTCTTAAGGAAACTGTTAGGTTCTGAAAGACAGCAATTCTCAAAATATATATTGAGAAATGTTGTATTTAAAAGCAAACATACAGAAGTATGTAAAAGCAACAAAACATTTTCCAAATTACAAAAACTTATAATTCAAAGTCAAGAAAAGTAAAATCAGGCCTGGTGCTATGGCTTATGCCTGTAATCCCAGCATTTTGGGAGGCTGAGACAAGAGGATCCCCTGAGGCCGGGAGTTTGAGACCAGTCTGGGTAACAGTAAGACCCTGTTCCACGAAAAAAAAAAAAAAAAAAAAATTAGCTGGATGTGGTGGTGCACACCTGTAGCCCCAGCTTGGGAGACTGAGGGAGAGGATCACTTGAGTCCAGAAGGTCGAGGCTGTAGTGAGCCGTGATCATGCAACTGCATTCCAGCCTGAGTGACAGAGCAGGGCTCTGTCTCAAAAAAAATAGGTAAAGTAAAACTCGTAGTTATAGATAAGATACTCCAGAAAAACAAAACAAAAATTTTAACTGTATAACTGAGCTATGAGGGGCTACTGAACAATTTGAAGTTAATGAGGGTAACAAACCAATATATATGGATATCTGGGAAGTAGCCTATGCTCCATATCTAATAACCTCATTTACTTTAGAAAAAAATGGTTGGGACCGGGCACAGTGGCTCATGCCTGTAATCCCAGCATTTTGGGAGGCTGAGGCAGGAGGATTACTTGAGGCCAGGAGATTGAGACCAGCCTGGGCACCACAACAAGATAAAGGAAAAAAAAATTGGCTAGGCATAGTGAAGTACTAGTTAATCAGGAGGCTGAGGTGTGAGAGATTGCAAGAGCCCAGGAGTTGGAGGCTACAGTGAGCTATGAACATACCACTGCACTCCAACCTGGATAACAGAGCAAGACCTTGTCTCAAAAAACAAAACAAAAAAAAAAGTTTGAGGAGGAAGAAGACATGTGCTCACCTTATTGCTACATTTCATTTCCCATTTAATCCTCATTTCTATTGGTTGATATGTGGAAAAAGCACTCTTTGTTTTGAATAAATGTGGCTAATCATGAATACTTATAGTTAGAATTTACAAGTTCTTTGCAAAAAATTGTGAAGAAGGAGACAATCAGGAGCTTGACCCAGGTAGGAAGGGATGAATAAAACAAACTACTAACTTCCCAGTTTTGCTGAAGCCAGCCTGCCAAGCATAATAGGGTTAAGTGATTCTGAAAATCTCAAGGGAACTTGGGAGCTAGGAAGGTTGCTAGCTCCAGCTGGTTCTCACTTCAAATGTAACGTAAACTGAGATTAGCAATAATAGGTTCTGGAATAGATACAGGAGTTTTCTGCCATCTGCCATTCCAAAAGCTGCATTGTTGAGCACTTGTAAGAATGTGCCCAGGCAGAAGTATATTTGCTAATATTAAAAAGAGTGTCATAAATAGGAAGAAATAATGCTAGTGGGGCATCTCCTTATTAATGAATTATTCCCTCAGGTACTTACCATTGCCTAGTTCCCAAGAAATGTTATACCTCTTGGAAGAGCAGTAGTCCAGGAGCAACTGAGCATTAGAACTGTTCCACTGCAAATCTGCTGTTCTTAATAATGCATTTAGGCCAAAGATCAAGTCCAGTCCTGAGCAATTTGCAAAAGTGTACAGCATATCTACAGAGCTTCCTAAAAGAAAAATGTTGCAATTTAATGATTAGCTTGGCACCACAATGAAGAAGGCCTCCAGATTTGCTTTTCATAATGAATTATTATTTCTGTTGTTAAACTGAAGAAATTCTAGTCCTAAAAAATGATTATGTCTATGAGACACCAAAATTGGAAAAATTTTGAAAAAATCAACCTGACTTCATTTGCTCCAGCTGTTGAATGAAGTCCCATGGAAGACACCAGAAGCTCTGGTCTGACACTTAGGTTTTGTTCAAGTGACACGAGGGGAATTGAGGAAGCCACAATTTATAGCTCAGGGCTCCACATGCATAGCCAGACTCTCATTAGTGAGCATAAAGCCCACTCTTCATGATCTAAATGTCTCTGGTCACAAGTTCAGTTAAAAAACATTTTGATAATTTAAATTATATTTAAAACAATTTTTTAAAAAATTCCTGTATATAATTTATTTAAAATGAATCAAATTTTACATTAAAAAATTGGCCTAGGGATATAGGACCGTGGTTTCCAAACTTTGTACAAGGCAGGCTGGGGAGCACCAGTAAATGCATGGGTACAGCTGCAGTATTTAGTAACTAAAAGTACAGGACATCTAGTTAAATGTGAGCTTCAGATAAGCAATAAATAATTTTTAGTGCATGTCCTATGTATTAGTGAAGAAATACTTAACACAGGGGCCAGGTGCAGTGGCTCATGCCTGTAACCCCAGCACTTTGGGAGGCCGAGGTGGGCAGATCACTTGAGCCCAGGAGTTCAAGACCGCCCTGGACAACATGGCAAAACCACGTCTCTACAAAAAACACAAAAATTATCTGGGCATGACGGTGCGTACCAGTAGTCCCAGCTACTTGGGTGGCTGAGGTGAGAGGCACCTGAGCCCAGGGAGGTCAAGGCTGCAGGGAGCCATGATCATGCCACTGCACTCCAGCCTGGGCAACAGAATGAGACCCTGTCTCAAAAAAAAAAAAAAAAAAAAAAAAAAAAAAAGAGAAAGAAAAGAAAAAAAAAATTAACATGAAAAGAATTAGTTATTATCTGAAATTCAACTTTAACCAGGCAATGCTATTCACAGAGGCACTGCAGGATCTTTTAAGTTTGCAAGAGAAAAACATCAACATCTTTTGGACAACACAAGACCTATTACTATTAGGTTGTGTAGATCTTACAATTCAATAATCAAAACACAGGTATTTTTGTGGCCTAGGCATGCTGTAAAAAAGTTTTCTGAGATATACAGGTGCCATAAGTTTGGGGGCTTCTGTCCTCTGCTTTTTAAACCATCAGCTGTTATATTATCACTTTTTGAGAGTGGCAACAATATTATTTTAAATGTTGTCTTTAAATTGATTATCATATGCATAGAAAGTCCTTCCAATTTTCATGTATATCTAGAGTCGTTTGTTTAAGAGTAATTCATTCCCAAACTCTTGTAGTTAAAAAAAAAATTATCTATCTGGTAAACGTACACGTTAAAAGTGACTTTGTTTTTGTTTTATTTCTAAAACCTTGGCCTGAATTACTTGGATAACTATAGTATAATGTTAAATATTAACTATTTAGGCTGGGTGCTGTGGCTCATGCCTGTAATCCCAGCACTTAGGGAGGCTGAGGCAGATGGATCACCTGAGGTCAAGAGTTCAAGACCAGCCTGACCAATATGGTGAAACTCGTCTCTACTAAAAATACAAAAATAAGCTGGGTGCGGTGACATGCACCTATAGTCCCAGCTACTCAGGAGGCTGAGACAGAATTGCTCGAACCTGGGAGGTGGAGGTTGCAGTGAGCCGAGGTCACGCCACTGTACTCCAGCCTGGGTGACAGAGCAAGACTCTGTCTCAAAAAACAAAAAAACTAAAAAACTAAAATTAATTATAAAGGCCATCAGGCAGAAACAACTCTTGTAAGTTTTAGGTGTTTTGATATTTGCTGTGTCACCCGCTTCCAAAAACTGCTGCCTACCATCAAGGAATGACAGACCTTTGGGTTTGAAAAACTCTCTAGGGTCCTGTGACCCAGCATTCTACTGGATCTAGATCCACAGTTTAGGGCAGTATGGAGGCTTTGGGATCACCAGCTTAACCTCTACCCTCATTTTTCTAGGAGGAAACTGAGATCCAAACAAGGTAAGTCTTTGCCCAATATCACACAGCTGTTTGGTGGCAGTGCCATTACTAGGGCCTGTTACAAGGGGTGACTCACCTGCTTTAGTCACACATTATAGGCTTGTATATTGCAAAATCATGTTGTAGAAAGTGTCCTAGATCAGGAATCGTAAGACTTGAGCTCCAGGCACAGCTCTCCCACTTACAGACCATAATATGATCGAGGTAATATCTTTACCCTACATGAACCTCAACTATGGATCTACAGTTCTCAAACGCCATCACATACCTACTCCATAAAACCAAGGTTGAAATATCACATGTGAAAACTGTCTGTTAATCACAAAAAATCTCTTACAGATAAATAGCACTTTGTACTATCCCTGTGTGCAAAGATTATAGCATTTTCACAAAACCTGGAATGCTTGCGCTCATACATTCCCCTTCCTCCATTTCTTCATTCTTCCAAATGTGCTTGGAATTTACATAGCTTGAAATTCTATTATACACCCCCTATAACATAATAAACTGTAAAATCTCCTGGAATAGAGGCTATTGATGACTGAGTTCAAATCTACTCTTTTTTTTTCTTTTTTTGAGACAGCCTCATTCTGTCACACAGGCTGGAGTGCAGTGGCACGATCTTGGCTCGCTGCAACCTCTGTCTTGTGGGTTCAAGCGATTCTCCTGCCTCCTCCACCAAAGTAACTGGGACTACAGGTGCATGCCATGAGGCCTGGCTAATTTTTATATTTTCAGTAGAGACAGGGTTTCACTGTGTTGGCCAGGCTGGTCTCAAACTCCTGACCTCAAGTGATCCACCTGCCTCGACCACCCAAAGTGCTGGGATTACAGGCGTGAGCCACCGTGCCTGGCCAAAACCTACTCTAAAATAAAAAAAAACTTTTTTTTAAAAAAGAAGGGCCACCTAGCCTACTCCTTCCCCACAATAGAAAGAACATTTAAAAAACTTGCAATTCATTATCGTATCCCCAATCCTTTTCCAAACTCTCATCTCTTACTTATGTGGTATAAAGAGTGGAGAGATCCTTGGAATGAAGCTAACCACGATGACACATCGAAAAAAAATGGCAGACTCTTTCCCTTGCACTATACCACATAAGTCTATGTCAGCATCCAGTGTGGGCCAGGGTGTAGGGGATGGAAGAATGGGGTGATGAGGGGAACAGGAGGAGAAGAAGAAGTACAAAGAGTTAGCTCACTCAGGATGATTACTTTAATAAGGGAGTCATCCTTTCTGCTGTCACACCCAGAATTACATCTGTAACATTGCTTCCTTTCCCTGCTCAAACAGGTTTAAAATGTGAGTCCATATTCTCATGACAAATGTTTTTGTCATCTTCTGCTTAAGTGGAGCACACCATTCAAGAGCACCTGTGTTAGAAAACTTACCTATATCTTCTGGGACACCTGATTTAAGGGTGCAGGCCACTAGCTAAGCAACGAACATGTCCTTGTCTCAGCAAGCTCTTGCTACTTCTTCCTCTATGGTATGTCCCCATGTCACTAGGGCATTACCAACCTCAGCCACAGGTTCAGAACAACATGTGGAATCTCCTATTGGCTTCTGAAATATCATCTGTCACTACAATGAGCAGGTGCCCAAACTAAACACAGTAGATTTCTATGTTTCCATGATGTGCCCATGAAAACTGAAAATTTCAAGCCAGAAGTCAAATGTTTCAAATACAAATAAAATTCTGTATTCGTTATACATTTTAGCATTGCCAGCAGGGTGGCTGGACTCACACTAACTAATCCAGTTGCACAGTTAGTAGAGGAAGGCATTTCCCCTGGTGTAGGAACTATGAAAGCCAAATACTGGAGATGGAAACCTACTATTTTGGTAATAGAAAGATCATGTGAAGTCACAAAACTTTCTTAGAAATTTAAGATAAACTGGTATAATGTTTAATATGACATATGACCCCTCCAAGACTTACCTATATCTTCTGGAACATGTGTTTTAAGAGCAAATCCATTAATTACCTAATACCACAGGGTCTTCTCCCAGCAGAGCTACAATGATTTATCACAAACATGACCTTACTTCTGTGGTTCTCTGGTACATGTCATTCCTTTAATGGGATCTGAAATGGCCCTGCCTTATGCCATCCCCATTCAATAATTAATTACACTTACTAAAGTATCAGAGTTGATCTCCCTCTCAAAATGCAAAAAAAAAAAAAAAAATGTTTAGAGGACATTAGCTATTAGCATATAAACTATTTTCTGATTTCTTATGGATCACATATTTTTCTGTACCATATACATAAAAATGTATATAAATTTGAAATCCATCTGATACATGGAACTCCAGGTAGTATATAGTAAAATCTTACAATCATAATTTATTAATTAAAAAAATACTTTAAATAATGTTAACTAACCCAGATAAAGTACAGTAACTTCAAGATAATTTATTTTCAAAAGTCAAAAGAAGAGCTTTAGAGTATCTGAGCAGGTTACTTCTCTAACTGAGACATGGGGGGACATCACCCCTCAGTTGGGTATAAATGTCAATCTTCAGATAAAAATATAATTCATAGTTAAAAAGAAGTTTGCTTGTCTCACTTACTTTAAAGCCCCATGTGACAATGTCATCCTACTTGGAAGACTAGAAGACTGTTTTAGTGACTGGAAATACAATAATGGTTAGCTGAGCTAGCCCTATGTCTGCAAAGCCTCAGAGGAAACAAAAAGAATTCTGCTTGGTAGCCAAGGCCGTCTGGAGTGACTCAGGGTCCCCCTGCCTAATGCTCTAAACCAATGCATCCTGGGAGTTATTTCTGGGAGGGGGATGGACAGCAAGGTATGAATGATGTCCACATTTTATCCTTTATGTATCTGTATTTTAATTTTACATAAGGAATATATTCATATTTTCCCTGACTCCCTAGTGTTTTAGAGCAGTGAAGGTCACTGTTAGATCATGAATGACTGATTTATCTTTCACTCTGTGGCTGCTAGGCAATGTCAGATGAAGAAAAAACGAACAAATTTTGAGTTCAGGATTTCCCATTTGGGAAATGCTTCAGTATTTTTAGCTTTATACAACTTCTGTAGGATTTGCTAGATTGGTGCCTGGGTCCAGTCTATCTAAATATCTCTGGGCTGGAGTACCTCTAGGGTGCCTTTCATTTCTTACTTGAGTAGGTGCTGTTCTTGAACTTTTTCTGGTAGTGTTCTCTGAGTAGCAATTGCTCCTGGTAGGGCCATTCCAACTGCAACTTCTCCTCCACAGCAGGAGGGATGGATCCAGATTTGCAAATATCTGCAAGGGGAAGAGATCATTTAGAGAATCTATTTTCATATTAAGCAGGCTGAAATTCCATATATTTATTTAGTTAGCTATTTATGTGACTAAAGCAGGATAATTAAATTCTGGTTATGAGATAGGAGAGCAGAGAAAAGATATATTCTGTAACACATGTCAGATTTGCTGCCTCATTAATCACCACAAAGAAAACAAGCAAGGGCAGGTTTCCTAAGAAATATTGAACATACACTGAACACGGATACATTGGATTTAACAATTTAGAGGGCTCCTCAGAAGTTTGAAATTACTGGTTAGGCGTAGTGGCTCATGCCTGTAATCCTAGCACTTTGGGAGGCTGAGACGGGTGAATCACTTGAGGTCAGGAGTTTGAGACCAGCCTGGCCAAATGGTGAAACCCCGCCTCTACTAAAAATACAAAAAAATTAGCTGGGCATAGTGGCAGGCACCTGTAATCTCAGCTACTTGTGAGAGGTTGAGGCAGGAGAATCACGTCCTCACTCCCAGAGGTTGTAGTGAGCTAAGATCGCACCATTGCACTCCAGCCTGAGTGACACTGGGCACCAAAGTGAGACTCTGTCTCAAAAAAAAAAAAAGCTCGAAATAACCAGAGAACCCTAGTGAAGAAAACAGTACAGTTCTCTTAAGGTCCACTTTCAAAATCCACAGCAATTTGCTTTACATGGCCTGTATCTGCAGTGTGGTGATTTCCTATTGCCATCATGGGAGCTAGGATGGGTGGGAACGATTGACTTTTTCTCCCTTTGAACTTGGTACCATCAAAGCTCTGGGACCACAACTTGTGCACTGAAAAAATCCACCCTGGCCAGGCACAGGGGCTCATGTCTGTAATTCTAGCATTTTGGGAGGTGGAGGCGGATGGATAGCTTGAGCTCTGGAGTTTGAGACCAGCCTGGACAACATAGTAAAACCCCGTCTCTACTAAAAATACAAAAAATTAGTCGGGTGTGGTGGCATGTGCCTGTGGTCCCAGCTACTCAGGAGGCTGAGGTGGGAGGATGACTTGAGCCTGGGAGGCAGAGGCTGCAGTGAGCTGAGATCCCCCCATTGTTCTCCAGCCTGGGAGACAGAGCCAGATCCTGTCTCAAAAAAAAAAAAAAAAAAGAAAAGAAAAGAAAAGAAAAGAAAAATCCACCCCATCCTGTCAGGCAGACCATTTCTTCATCACAAGACAGTAGGGTCACTTGGTGCTGCCTGCCAGGGCCGGCTGACTGGTTGACAACTTCCCTTCTGGAAAGCTGCACACTGACTTGCTGGCAGCTGGTGCCTCATCTGTCCCTGGGCTCACAGAGGATGTTTCAGAGGAACTCTGATAACCCCAGTTCCCCCCACCCACCATCCTCCTAGACACAGGATGAAGAAAACTGACGAGCAAAGGACAGTTTCCTGTCTGAACTTATGAGATCTTTTGGATACACATGACTGGTGGGAAAGGGCCAAGTCTAAACAGAAACTAGGCAAGTGTGGTGGCTATACCTGTAATCCCAACATTTTGGGAGGCCAAGACAGGAGGATCACTTGAGTGCAGGAGTTTGAGACCAGCCTGGACAATGTAGAAAGACTGTCTCTACAAAAAATTTAAAAAATAGCTGGGTGTGGTGGCGTGCACCTGTGGTCCCAGCTATTCAGGAGGCTGAGGTGGGAAGATTGCTTGAGCCCAAGAGGTTGAGGCCACAGTGAGGTATGATTGTGCCACTGCACTCCAGCCTGGGCAACAGAGTAGGCCTCTGTCTAAAAAAAAAACCCCTAAAACACAAAAGAAACCTATAAACAATTCCAACCTGGTATTTAAAGAGAACCCAACTGTCTTTTTTCTATTTTCTCTAATTACTGTTCCATCAATTTAGCCCAAATTACTGATGGACTGTTCTAAATACTTCCTAACTGGAGGAAATAAACAGAAGGAAAAGATATAATATATGAAATAATCAAATATTCCACATAATGAATATATACATTATATACACGTTATTATAATTCAATGGTATATACAATATTTTCAGTACTTTTTTCTTTTTAAATTATTTAAAAAAGGGGCAGGGGAAAAAATATTAAAAAAAAGAAAAAAATCATTAAAAAAATATAGAAAGGGTCTCTCTATGCTGCACAGGCTGGTCTCAAACCCCCGGGCTCAAGTGATCCTCCTGCCTTAGCCTCTCAAAGTGCTGAAATTACAGGTGTGAGCCACTGCACCCAGCCTAGTAATTAAGATAATGATTTAACTTCCGTTGGATGTCTGATAGCACTTCTGAAAGACAGGACACATTTTCATGGCTCCCTAGGGCGGGTTTCTCAGGAGAAGGCCACAGACTTTCAATATCAGAATCCCCTGACAAGCTTGCTAAAATCAGAACCTGACGTTGGAGCTTATACACCTCCAGGGCCATTTTATACACATTCTATAAAATAAAACATGTATAAAATAAAACGTGTATAAAATAAAACGTGTATAAAATGGCCCTGAAGGTGTGTAAGCTCCAACATTAGAGTCTGTTTGAGACCAGCCTGGGCAATGTAGAGAGACCGTATCTATATTTTTTAACACTTTTTTTTTCTTTTTCCCCGCCGCCATTTTTAATAATTTAAAAAGAAAAAAAGTACTGAAAATATTGTATATACCATTGAATTATAATAACATGTATATAATGTATTCTAGTAAATTTATATTTTATACATCCTTTGGACTTGGGAGACTCGGTATGAGTGTTCTGCCTGGGAGCACTTGCTCAGGGACTCCTAAATGAAATATAGATGCTGTATGTGAACAGCATCTATATTTTATTTAGAAGTCCAAATATTTAAACTCACCCAGGTGATCATGGATCTCTTTCACTCACATTCTATTTTTAGAATCTATATCCTTCAATCTATCATCGTGTCTTCAGCTAGAAATACTCTCTTTAGTTTGATGCGATTCTACCTACTTGCTCCCTCTAAGCAGCTCTGTCCTTCAGCTGCAATCACTGTTCTATTAATATTTGCAGTACAATGAGCTTTCAGTTATATTCAGGACATCTTTTTTTGTGAGGTCTCACACTGAACATGACAAACATCATGATAAGGAAACCTGCCCACTGCCTCCTCCTTTTTTTTCTTTTTTTAACTGAAATGGAGTCTTGCTCTGTTGCCCAGGCTGGAGTGCAGTAGTGCCAGCTCGGCTCACTGCAACCTCTGCCTCCTGGATTTAAGAGATTCTCCTGCCTCAGCCTCCTGAGTAGCTGGAATTACAGGCATGAGCCACCATGCCTGGCTAATTTTGTATTTTTAGTAGAGATGGGGGTTTCTCCATGTTGATCAGGCTGGTCTCGAACTCATGACCTCAGGTGATCCACCCGCCTTGGCCTCCCAAAATGCTGGGATTACAGGCATGAGCCACTGCGCCCAGCCCTGCCTTCTCCTTTTGTTCAGGTTCCTCCACAGGCCAGATAAGAGGAGAGGAAGTGAATCTCTTATGAATTGTTAGGCGTGAGGCTGGGTGCGGTGGTTGTGTGAGCAATAACATTTTTCTCTAAGAATTCTCATGACGAACTCACGTTAATTAAAATATAGAGTTAATCTTTAACAATTTTCACCCTGGTTAACTTGAGATTGCCAGTAACTTCTCTCTTCAAAGGTTGATTCCTTCTTGGGATCAAAAATTAGAAAGTCTGTCTTGGTGCCACCAAACCTCAGGTACGCAGGAGACAGGCCTCTGGCCAAAGTACGAAGCTTTGGAGAACTGTTAGGAAGACAAGCAGGAAAGTATAATTACTTTTTCCAAGAAGATCTAGTCAAACATTCTTACTTCCTTCTTTCCTGGTAGACCTATTTCTTAACATTTTCCTGTGCAGTACTTAGAGGAAAAAATCATATTGTTTTGTTTTTGTGATAGAGTCTTGCTCTTTTGCCCAGGTTGGAATGCAGTGGCACAATCTCAGCTCATTGCAAGCTCTGCTTGCCGGGTTCAAGCAATTCTTGTGCCTCCACATTCCAGGTAGCTGGGATTACAGGCAATATTGTTTAATTTTTATTTTTTTTCTTATTGGGCATGATAGAAGCGGAATCATTGTTTCAAAGAAGAAGCATCTCAATCTGAATCTAATTGAAGGACTGATCTAAGCACCTGAGGACAACTTGCAGCTCTAATTCTGGCAAGAGTTTGTGTGTGTGTGTGTGTGTGTGTGTCTGTGTGTCTGTGTGGTCTGTGTGTAGGGACGAGGTCTTGCTATGTTGCCCAGGCTAGCCTTGAACTCCTGGCTTCTAGTGATGCTCCTGCCACAGCCTTCCAAAATGCTGAGATTACAGGCATGAGCCACTGCACCCAGCCAGGAGCTTATATTTTAACTTGACAAGTAGGATAGTGTTTAACACTTAAATAAAAAAACCTCATAGCCTTTTATGATTGATGGAGAAAAAGAAACAAGAGAATGGAAACTAAGGGAAAGAGAGCTCTATGTCTGTCTGAAAAAACAAACACTCTGAAACTATGAGATAAAAAGATCAGTGGTCACCAGGGGTTGGGGGTGGAAATGCGGAGACGGAGGGATGAATAAGTGGAGAACAGGGGACTCCCCCGTCTCCCTCCAGGGAGTGCTTTCAGATGCCACTTAGAATTGGAGAGTTCATTAATCCCCCTGCAATACCTAGATTGGGAGGGCACCTCCTTCTAGCTGTATGCGAATCTCCCCTAATCCCAGCCAGCCCCACAGGAGCTTGCAGCCCTCTCTAACGGACCTGCTGCTCCCACATTTCATGGCAGGTGAGTCCAGTAGGACCCCTCCAATCACTCACACAGGGATTTAGTGGGGATTATGGAGTGACTATGACACCGGGAAAGCTGAGGACCTTATGTGAGGTGGACTGGCCAGCATTTGGGGTGGATTGGCCCTCAGAGGTTTTTTTATTTAAGTGTTAAACAGGGGATTTGCAGGGCACTGAAAATACTCTGTATGATACTATAATGGTGGATACATGTCATTATACATTTGCCCAAACCCACAGAATGTACACCAACAGTGAACCCTACTGTGAACTACGGACTTTGAGTGACAATGATGTGTCAGTGTAGGTTCATCCACTAGAATAAACACCGCTCTAGGGGAGATGTTGATAAAGGGGGAGGCTACGCTGAGGAAGGAGACCCTTAATCCTCTCAAGCTTTGAAGACTCCTTTCCCCTAGACTTCTACACTGCATTTCAATAGAAGTCAAGGCTGGCAGACTGGGCGGGCGCCACTCTTAATCACACTCCTGTAGATCACAGGCGTGGTATGGAGGAATCTTTCCAGAAGGCATTGTTTTTTCTTTTTTTTGAGACGGAGTTTCGCTCTTGTTACCCAGGCTGGAGTGCAATGGCACGATCTCGGCTCACCGCAACCTCCACCTCCTGGGTTCAGGCAATTCTCCTGCCTCAGCCTCCTGAGTAGCTGGGATTACAGGCACGCGCCACCATGCCCAGCTAATTTTTTGTATTTTTAGTAGAGACGGGGTTTCACCATGTTGACCAGGATGGTCTCGATCTCTTGACCTCGTGATCCACCCGCCTCGGCCTCCCAAAGTGCTGGGATTACAGGCTTGAGCCACCGCGCCCGGCGCCTTGTTTTTTCTTAAACACGATCAAACGCCCACCTAATCACATACCCTACACCTACTTCATGGATCAAGATCCTTTCACATGTGATTTCTAGAATTGTAAGGCTTTAAAAGGGCAAGGATTTTCTCTGTCAAGGAGCTCGATTGTTAAGGTATTTTCACCTGCCGCAGCTCCCGGCCCAATAAATCACCGAACGGGGGTTCGGTGTTCCAGAGGTTTGTTTGTGGCCGCCCCTGCTTCTTTTTGGTTCCCTGACTGGGAAATGAGTTTTGGTTGGCAGACAGCCGGGACAGCCTCCCAGGTGGTTTTGTCTTGCCCTGCAGAGCACCCCTGTGGGGACTCCAGCCCGTTTGGGCGACGCAAGTTCTGAGAGCGCTCCCAGATAGGCATTGGCCCTGGTGGAATGCCTCGTCAGAGCAAAAGCAGGGTAGGCCCCCACCGTGTGGATCCACCCAGTGGCTGAACACCGAGAAGGAATGGGTGCCTGAAGTGTCCGGATGACAAAAACATGGTAGGACCGGTCCTGGGAAACTTGCCCACCTCCTTTAAGCGGAAACGTGGCCTCATCACCCATGTGTGCCGGATTTGGCACTCTTGAACTTGGCTCTCTCTCTCTCTGCAACTAACCTTGGAAGTCTTGCTTTTGGTTTCAGTTTGGGTGAAGGGAGGTGTACCACTGTGTGAGTGATTGGAGGGGTCCTACTGGACTCACCTGCCGTGAAATGTGGGAGCAGCAGGTCCGTTAGAGAGGGCTGCAAGCTCCTGTGGGGCTGGCTGGGATTAGGGGAGATTTGCATACAGCTAGAAGGAGGTGCCCTCGCAATCTAGGTATTGCAGGGGGATTAATGAACTCTCCAATGCTAAGTGGCATCTGAAAGCACTCCCTGGAGGGAGACGGTCCTACCGGCCTGAATCGAAAATAAAAAGAGTGTATTGCATGGTGCAGGGTGGGAAAAACTGGGGAAGGTGCATGACTGTGTGAGTGATTGGAGGGGTCCAGTTGGACTCACCAGCCATGAAATGTGGGCACGGCAGGTCCATTAGAGAGGTCTGTTAGCTCAGAGTGTATTGTGGGGCCAGCTGGGATTGGGAGCAATCCACATATGGCTAGAAGGAGGTGGCCTCACAGTCCAGGTATTGCAGGGGGATTAACGAATTCTCCAATGTCAAGCAGCGTCGCAAGCACTCCCGAGAGGGAGATGGTCTACCCGCCTGAAGGGAAAGTGAAAGAGTGTGCCACGCAGTACAGGGAGGGAAAAACTAAGGGTGGAGTAAAACTCTACTGCCTGTGAGTACTGTTTTCTGTGCGAAACATGGGTCACACGCATAGCAAGCCTACTCCTCAGGGGCTATGCTGAAAAATTTCAAGAAGGGAATTAGTGGGGATTATGGAGTGACTATGACACCGGGAAAGCTGAGGACCTTATGTGAGGTGGACTGGCCAGCATTTGGGGTGGATTGGCCCTCAGAGGGAAGCCTAGACAGGTCTCTTGTCTCCAAAGTATGGCATAAGGTTACATGCAAGCTAGGACACCCTGATCAATTTCCATACATAGACTTGTGACTATAGCTACTTCTAAACCCTCCACAGTGGCTGAGAGAATAGGCAGCAACTGTACCGATGGCAAAGGGGCAGGCAGCTGGGGAAAACCCTGCCCCACCCACAGAGGGACACAGGCTCCTAAGGTCCTGACAGATCCAACGGCAGAAGGGCTTTTGCTGATGATACTCCCTCCCCCTTGTCAGGAGGAAGGATTCCTTGTCTCTGGGCCTGAAGCCTCAGCACCCCCGCCAGAATTGTACACCTCCAAACCACCAAGAAAAAAAAGAATCCAGAGGGACTCCTCCCATAGCCACTCACCTCCCGGGAAGAACTCCCCCTCTAGCAGCCCGTCTGCAACCCAAGGCAGGGGTGCAGATGCCTTTAAGAGAGCAAAGGTATACGGGAGTGGATGGTGGAAAGACATGTTTTCACATACTTGTGGTTCACCTCAGCTGATCTTATCAACTGGAAAAATAACACCCCGTCTTAACAGAGAAGCCCCAAGCTCTCATGACCTACTGCAAACTATTGTCTAGACACATAACCCTACTTGGGCTGACTGCCACCAGCTGCTTATGTATCTTTTTAACACCAATGAAAGGCGGAGAGAACTTCAAGCCACTTCCAAATGTTTGGAGGAGCATGTTCCAGTAGGTTACCAGAACCCCCAAGAGTATGTCAGGGCCCAGCTGCCAGGGACTGACCCCCAGTGGGATCCAAACACCCCAAAGGGCCTGCAAAGCCTAACCCGATACAGACAGGCCTTACTGGAAGACTTGAAAAAGGGAGCCCAGAAAGCTACAAATATCAATAAAGTCTCTGAGGTCATTCAAGGGAAAGAGGAAAGCCCGGCACAGTTTTATGAAAGACTGCGTGAAGCCTATCGCATGTGTACTCCTTTCGATCCTGAGAGGCCTGAAAACCAACGCATGGTAAATATGGCATTAGTCAGTCATTGTGCAGAAGACATTAGGAGAAAGCTACAGAAGCAGCAGGATTTGTGAGCATGAATACTTCACAGTAATTGGCAATAGCTAACCAGGTGTTTGTAAACAGAGACGCGGTAAGCCGTAGAGAAAATGAGCGTCAAGCTCGACAAAGCGCTGACTTGATAGCTGCCACTATTAGAGGAGCACCCCCAGAAGGGCGGGGAATGGGGGCTTCTGGAAGCCTACCCAGTCTAGTTGCTGCGCTTGCAGCATAACCATTGTGCTTACTGTAGGGAAGCGGGACACTGGAAGGACAAGTGCTCCCAGCCGACAGGAAAACAGGGAGACCTTAAGCACGAGGCTTCAGATAAAAGTGAAGGAGCTCTGTTCAGTCTAATGGAAGGGCCACTGGATTGAAGGGGACTGGGCTCAATTGCCCCCAAAGAGCCCATGGTAGGGATGACAGTGGGGGACAAGGACACTGACTTCCTTGTCAACACAAGTGCTGAATATTTGGTGGTAACCACCCCTGTGTCCCTCCTATCAAAGGAAACAACTGATATTGTTGGAGATACTGGGGTGTCAGAGAAACAGTCTTTGTTTGCCTCAGACTTGTGAGGTGGGGGGTCATGAGGTAATTCACCAGTTCTCATACATGCCTGATTGCCCTTTGCC